CCTGGAGAACCCCGTTGTCCTATTTTTATACTATTATTTGTACTGTTTTAATTGTATCATAGTTGTATTGTATTGTATAGAAGTAATATTAATACTGCATTACAGCAGCTTTCCAGTTGGAATATGAAGTGTATTGTGTTTGTTGTATATACTACATAGTTTAATCTAGGAACAGGTATATGCCAGTATACAGTAAGCATTTGTAACGTAAAAATGAACTTGCCAAATTAGATCAAAAAGTTGAAGCTTGAATGAGCTCCATTTTTGCATGGTAATGGATGCTCAAAATACTTAAGAGAGCCTTTCTAACCTGGAGAGTTTCATGCCTTCTGGAAAGTCTGAATGGGTGTAAGATAGGCCAGAAAGATTTTATCAAAGTATTTTAAAACTTATGGAAGAAGCTCAATGAAATACCTTTCACTTCAGTTTAAAATCTATAAGGAAATACTCAGTGAAGTGAATAGACATGCTGTGTGAGACGTGGAGGAAATGGGAAACGGTGTGCGGTGGCTGCTGGTGCCACACCTTACACTGGGGAACTAGAGGAAGCCGTTTGTACTCTAAATAATCCTGATTTTGATTGGGTGAAAGAGGCTGGTTAAGTGAGCTCTTCTTTACAGAGACTGTGCCGAAGACCCGGGTTGAGTTGCTCTCTGTTGGTGATGTTTATCTTGCAACCGTGTAAGTCAAGGATCCCAGTCGTGAGTCAGTCCCGTTGGGAGAGCAGAGGTACCACTAAGGAGCAGAAAGGTGTGCAATCTTTTTGGCTGAGGGTCTAGAAATAAACTTGATTGTGTAGTGGCAATTGTAAGGTTTGTCTGTAAAATATATCTCTTAAGATGATGGTAAAAGCAGTCTGGAGTGGTTGTGAAAATGAAAAGAAAGCAGGAAGTCTGCACAAAACATTTTGCTGGTATGTTGGGGTAGAGGGAAGTGTGAACATTTCACTTCTTACAAAATGCTAACTTTGTTATGAGTTTGTAGTTATTTTCCTGCTGTGTTGCAAGATCAAAATGCAGCTGTTCCCAATAACATGCTTTTGTATTGTAAAGTGTATTTTACTGTAATATCATTATAATTAAAGAATGTGGTTAAATGATGTTTTACAATCCTGTCTTCTGCAGGAGGGAGATCCTTGCTTTTCTGTGCCCAGCTGGTGGGTTTGGTACATCCATGGAAATCTTAGGAAAGACCACTGAGAACATCAACTATGGATTTTTGTTCCTTTGCTTTTAAAGAAAGGAATTGTCAGGTAGTTGTGGTTTTGGTTTTTTGGATGAGGAGGAGGCTTTTAAAGAAAGGAATTGTCAGGTAGTTGTCGTGGTTTTGGTTTTTTGGATGAGGAAGAGAAGTGAAGACAGCAATTCAGTTTGTGACAGAATAGATTTTAGGAATAATTAGAAGGCCTTCTGGAAATAAATGCTTTTGGTGTGTTTGTAGGTAGCATGTTTAGGTAATTTAAAGAAAAAGCAAACTTAAAGTCACTGCTATTGGGGACATCATAGTAAAGTTTCACTTTTATTACCCCTCTTTTCCTCTGTCTTCCTTTAGTTCCATATATGAAACAAGTATAGGATCGCTAAGTATATATTATGATATTTTATTGTCTAGATAATGATCCTATTCAGTGTGTTAGGAAGAAGAAATTAGAGTGAAATCTTAACTTCAGCTTTAGATTAACTCCATTGAAGCCATTTTATTCATCAATAACGCCTGCCTTCTAGAGCTCAAACTAGAAAAGAGGTATGGGGGAGAAGATATGATATACTAAATATAATTTAGAGAAATGAGGACATCAGTAAGCATGTGGAATGTCAGAACATTTGTTTTTTCTGAGTTACATTTTGAATTGTCTTCATTGTTTTCCAGCAAACAGCTTTTCTTTCTCACATTAATTCTCAGCAGTGGTTCTACTATTCTTCCTTTCTAGTGTTCATTGATACTAGAGTAGGTCAATGTAACACCTTCTGTCTTTGTTAGTGGTTGCAGAATGGAGCGGCTGGGACTCTTGTTTTGAAAATTCAAGGACCAAAAGTCATCAAGTGTGTCCTGTTTAGTCATGGCAGTGAAAGCCACTGCTCCAGAGAGACCTTCTTGAAAATTCAAGGACCAAGAGTCATCAAGTGTGTCCTGTTTAGTCGTGGCAGTGAAAGCCACTGCTCCAGAGAGAGCTGCTTCTTCAAACCCCTCACCATCAATTCCAGTAAAGCCAGATTGAGACTGGATGCCATGAACCTTTAGGTGTTTAGTGTGAGGCTAAAGGGACTTGGAGTTACGACAACAGAAGGGTTGCCCTTCTATGATTATTCTGAGTTTTCGTTTGACTGGGTAAAAAATGTAATTTGAATCTTGAAACACTGAGTTACTCTAACATCTGACTCTTAAAAGTCCGAGGCCAGTCCTGTTACTTTCTGCTGTATTTCCGTATGTATTTTTCTAGATTAATATCTCCTACTGGTTTTTCTATTGTTCTAAACATTAGGGTGAGCTTTGCTATAGAAAACAAAATCGCTCTGTACAAAAAATATATATTTTTTAAAAAACTATTTTTTTATTTGATTAGTGTGCTTGTATATAAGGCTCTAGATGGTTATCCTCTCACGCTGTCTTACTGTAGGGCAGATCACTTACTGAAGGAGTTTGGAAAACTAACACTTCCAAGGATTCTGCTGCAAATTATGGCATTGTTTGTTCTGTTCAGGATTTACATCACTGCAGTAACAGTAATTCCTAAATAATTTGTTTATTTGATGAGCATTTTTTCCTAATTATGGTGTTTTCAATTCCCAAAGGCTCAAAGTATCTTCAGTATTTCAAAACCAGTATGTAAGAAGTAACCAGTAAGTACAGAATCATTGTTACAAGCCAAAATTCAGAGAAGTAATTTGGAGCGTGCAGTGGAATTATTTATATGGCTACATGGAAAGAGGAGGAAATTTTGGCTAAGAATCTAAGTCAAACTCTAGAAATTGCACAAAGTGATGTATGATGCAGAAAAGAGCCATCAGGTTCTGATTTAATAGCAATTATTCTGTCTGCCTTCACCTCTCCTTGGGTGTATGTACAGATAATTGATCAAATCCATTCAGTTTTCTCTGGAAAAATAAGAAGTTGAGATATGAACCAATTGTTTTATGGACTTTGGGGAATTACAGTCCTTTAGCTGAGCAGCTGGATTCAACCTTTTTTTTAAGGTTGCTTAAGCTATCAACAACTTTTATGAAAATAATCAGACTGGTCAGAAATTAATATAAAATATGAAACTCTGTCCTCTGCTTCTCATTAAAATTTCAAATTACATAGAGAGAGATGCCGGCACTTTTTACTTGTCTCTAATTGAAAACCAGGTTTTCAGAAAAACAAATTCGATTCTCCCTTTTATCTCTTACCTTGTGAAAGCTGTTTGCGATTCTGTATTTCAGCTTAGGCTGTGACTATTTGAATAAAGAAACTAATTTCCATCTTGTATTGTTACAGAATACCTTTTGAGAAAAAAGTGCTTTGTGATTTTTCCTTTCTGATTTCCTGGCATAGATTTGTAAAGTGTCTTTGTAAGTTATAAAGTCCTGGGATATGCAAGAGAAGGGAGTCTGACTTGGTTAACGAATACTGAAAAGAGTTCTGTAAATAGTTCCATTCTAAAATAAAAATCGTCCCCACAGAACAGAATATGCATCTGACACAATTTCTGTGCAGTTTTTATGTCTGTGGAGTGTCCCCTTTAAAAACATGTCTGTCAGCTCTTCTAATTGATATTCAGTTTAAGAGTTTTGGGTTAACCTTCTGAAAACGTGTTAGTATTACTTAGCTGTGATTCAGGAGGAAGTTAGGGTAAGGATTCAAGTTATTCGTAGTAATTCATAGTTGTCATTGAGGAAGAAATTTCATAGTTCAGAGATACTCTGTTTTACAGGATAAGCAAATAATGATTTCTTTTTTTTTTTCCATGTTTTTTATTTTGATTGTATTTAATCATACTCTAAATTGTGATGTTCCATTGCCAGCAGTCCCCCAGCAAGATCTCTTCCTGGTGTTTTTGTTCCCACATCAAAAGTATTCATGACTGCACGTGCAGAATTCTAGCCTGACTGCTTACATCTGGGGGGGGTTCAAGCTCTGTAAATAGAGATACCTGTAAGATCTAAACTTGCTGTGCTCAGCGGATACGGTTACAGTCCTCCTGGATGTGTACAGCTACACTCCTGGGGTTCTTCTTGGCTTCCTCCCTGTCAAACCAGAGATTGGCAGAGGAAACAGTTTAGTGTTTGGATGAAATTGCATTAATGGACGTCTATGCAGTTACAGATAATAGGAAATCCCTCTAAAATTCTGGGTTTGATGCATATTGAAAACTATTATGCGAATAGCTGTTCAGAATATTATAATTCATATTTAACCCATACAGCTACAGAACATTAGAGAAGAAAAACGCTGCTCAAATGGGTATATAGTGCTTCAGTGAACAAGCCAAAATGGGATGTCTACATTGTTCTACCATGAATGAGACAAATCAGACTACAGATTTTTTTTTTCCCCCTTATTTTCTATGAATTTTAAGTAATGTGCAGCATTATAGGTGATGGCACTGTTGGTACGATTGTTTGGTGTTATCCAGGTTCTAATTTTCATTTGCCAAACTTTTTGGTTGAAATTTTGTATTCTGTATTCCTGTGTGCCTTTGGATGACTTCCCTTTGAAAACTTCAACCGAAATGGTTTGCATATTCCCCAGACTGAAGCTATTGGAAAGACAGTTCTCAGTGTTAGTTTTCTAGAGACCTTTGAAAGTCTGTAACTACTTAATGTTTGAGCAGAGCAACTGTGACATATTGTATTATAATATATTGTATTATATTAAATTACATTACATTATGCTAATAAGCACTGTATAGATAATCTTAATTCTTGGAGTTCCCATGGTTTGAGTGCTTATTTTATGATTTTGTTGCCGTGTGGGTGTACAGCAGTTTACACTCTGTGTTTTATCTCCTTTTGCTTTAGATTATTGGTTGCCAAATCAGAAGAGAGCCACCGGAGTCTACGGAGCGGTACACTCGCTGGATCAACAATCTGACTGAAGAACAGCTTCTTACACAGGTATTCTTGTTTCAGCTGTGACTGAAATGACAGCAGAAAAATAGAGCAAGAAGTTTATTTAGATGGATTTTTTCAATCATTAGCAATATGTGATAACTTACTGAGTTTATCAGATTCTTACACTTAAAGGCCAGTCTTTTCAATTAGAGACGAGTTTGTGGTGCATGTGACCGTTGTGTAATGATGACTTCACCCTGAGTGAGAATGAAGCTTTCAGCTCCAGCCTTGCATTTCTCACTGCTCTCTGTGGTTAAATTCATATTCTTTCACGTTCCAATAATTAGTTTAGGGTTTCCTTTTTAAAAGGTATTTTTAAATACAAAAGGAAAAGAAAAATCTTTCTTGAGAATGATTTCCCTCTCCCCTAAGGTTAGGTACTGACTGCTTCTGTATCCGCTTGAGTTTTGCTAGAGATTGTTTTGAAATAGCAGTTCTTCGAGCATTAAGCGTTGGGCTCATGATACATGTTTGTTAGTAAGATGCGTCTTGTGCAACTGAAGATGACAGTTTTGGCATAAAGAAAGGTTGTTTCGTTAGGCAGGCGGCCAACGCTGAACTAAAAGAGACTTTGGCAAAAACAAGTTAAACTGTGGAAGAAATCAATCCCGCTTGTGGAGGAATGTGTGTACGGAGTATTGTAAGAAATCTAAGGGATGGTTAGCAGAAAACATCCCAGCAGGCATTAAGATGCAAGTATTTGGGGGTGAGTTTTGTGATGCTATGGTAGGGAGACATTTGCTTTTGATTTTCCTGGATTTAAGGGGCTGAAAAGATTAACATACCCTTGTTTGTTAGACTTAATTGTAAACTCTGTTGTGTTCCCCATTACCCTAACCCCCAAAGACGTACTTACAGGCTCTGCTATGGTCAGTGTAACACAAGAAGTAATCTGTAGACCTTGTTTTAAAATCAGCACTGGTATTAGGGTTCTGTATAATTCACCAAGTGAAAGTAGTTACAGGAAAAGTTACCCGTGGAATATTTGGATTTGCCTTTGAGTATGGCATTAGAAAAAAAAATAGATTTAAAACAGGGAACTTATTAGACAACAACATCTGAATCACTGTGTTGTTGAAAAGAAGAGAAACAAAAACTTGAGGATGCAAAAAACTGTCCTATGCAATCTGAAGTGTTTCATCTGGGTGGCTGCTGGATGGGGTCTTTAATGAATTAAGATGGAAATTAAAAGAAATATCCTGATTCTGAGGTTATTAAGGTGGGGGGGGAGTATGCAAAAGGAAAACTACTTTTAGGATGGGGATGTATGTCTTCTGGAAGACATTATTTAATATAGTGGTTCTGTCAGTAGGATGCAAATGCAATGACCTGGGAAGTCCCTTGCAATCTTATGTGCCTATAGATATCTCTTAAAGCCTTAATCAAGCAGCATGTGCAATCCATTATTTTTACATATGATTTAGATTCACACATTTTACAAATAGATGAGGAATTTTTGAAAATATATTTGGTTTGGAACTAGAAGGCTGCATAGCAGAGCTTTTGCTACTTGTCTGTGAGCTCATTAACAGATGAGATGTATAGAATCACACTATTGAGGCGTTCCTAATTTTTTTTTAAACTTGTTACCTGTTCTCTAGCAAGTTTAGTGCAGAAATAGAAGGTCATCAAAGACATCAGATTTCTCAAAGTTCTGTGGAAGTATGAAGCTAGGAGAGATTGTGCTGCACCAGCTGCAATTCATATTGTTGAGCACCACAGAACCCACTGGGACAGAGATTTTAGGTGCCCAATTATAAGACAAGCTTCAGCTGTGGTGGCAGCCTGCAGGGAGCTGGGCTTTTCTGGGCTTTTCTGCATCTGGTGCTAAAGGACTCCTCCATTTCCAGAGTAGTGCGTGTCAGCATGAGGTACCTCTCCTGTGTCAGCATCCGTTCCTTGGATCAGAAATTCAGGTAGGGAGGTAATTAATTTGCTTTTTCTGGACTTAAGAAAACAGGGGGAGGAGGAGGAGGAGGAATTGGGAGTAAAACCCATCTCAGCTGTTCTCTAATAATCAGGATATGAATCAATTATGTAAGGTTGGGCCTGAATTGTCCCCCTCCCCTGCCCCCAACACACCCTACATTTTATTTTGGATGTGCTTTTTTTAAACTCTCTTTAGTAAATAAGGAAACTATAATGATGGGCCTTTGCTAATGGATTTGTAGAATCTCTGGGAGGAGCAGTCCTTCAGGGAATTCAGGAAAATTGGCTTTAATTTACAGCATATTGTCTCCAGCAGTTTCCTGTAGTGAAAGAATGTTCAGCTTTTTTTAGCTGTCTCTGTACTCGGTGCCTAGCGTTTTTTTTCCAGTTACTTCTGTTGCGTTTCTATATCATCCACATGCAAATTATTTGTGCTCTAAATTGGGAAACCAAGCAACCAATTAAAAAAATATAATGGCTAATTGTCAAGATCATGTAATGCCCTATGGTAATATTCCTGTTATTAATCAAATAAGATCCTAATAGCATTCGATTGCTTCACTAGAGAGTGCCTAAAGCCCCGTTGGAAAGAGGTGGGTGGCAGCAGATGTTCTGTGGGGTGGCTGGATGGCTTCGTGGGCCTCGGTGCTGGTTTTATATCGCTTGAGTCAATACCAGAGTTTTGGATCAAATGTCCATCCCCTGTCCTCACGCTGAGAAGATCATTCAATACAAAATGCTTCTAGCATTTTAACTTCTCTTTTCCCTTAGCCATGGCCTCTTGATGCTTACTCATCCATTAAATGTTTCTCTAAACAATTATACTGTAACATTCCAAAGATACTTTATGGTATGCGTGAAATTTCAGAATATATACCCCAGAGAGTGTGGTGGGAGTAAGAGAGTACAAAGAGAGCATAATAATGAGAAAACTACTTTTAAAAAAGATTTAATATTTACTTGTTTAAGGTTATATCCTGTATAAATGATGAATGATTAAAATAAGCTGTTTTAGATATACTAATAAAAGCCTTAAAATACCTGTATATGTGTTCTGATAGACTTGATATCTCTCTGGCGAATACTAAAAAAAAAAAAAAAAAAAAAAAAAAAAAAAAAAAAAAAAAAAAAAAAGGAGAAAAACAAAGATAACTTTAATTGTAAGTACAGAGCACAGTGACAGGGAGAAAACGAGCAAACAAATTAAGAGAACTGACTGTTTCGATGTTGGAGTAAGTGGGAAAAGTGTATATTAAAACTAATCCTACAGGATATCCGAGTCTGAATCGTGTCTGAAATGTGATTGTAGTTTGATCATGTAGCCCTTCTTGCGCACTGGAAGTTTTACTGTGCTGTATAAGTAAAAATGTCTGAATGGTTTTAAGGTTGGATTAATTACACAAATATTTGTACATGTAGTTTTTAGGATTGTTGCTGACTGTAAGTAGCACAGCTGAGTTTGTATCCATGTCTGTTAAATCACTGCTTTAGTCTTACAGCCTGTAAGTATTATATTCAGACAAGAGGCTTCTCTGCTTTCACATGCTAGTTTAGGAAGCAAACTGAGCTTGTAGTGGTATGTGAGGAGACTCCTGCAAAAAGGAGTGGGCTCTATGGTGAGACCGGACTGTCCCAATTCAGAAAAATAACGGTTTGAACCAAATATGATGATTCTGTTTGTCTGTTGTCCCCAGTAATGTGTCTGTATTGCTTCCCGATGCATCCTGTACTTTGCAGACTCTCTCAGAGCTCTTTGTATTGGATAAATCTGGAAGTTTTCACAGGTGATTCATAGTTTCACAGGTGATTTGTAGTTCTTACCAATTATCTCTCTGCACCACCTGATGAAAGAGCAGTAATTAACATGTTAGAGTTTCATAACACCCAATTTTCTGGGCTGTTACAGGTGCCTGTTAGATTTACCTAACAAGTTTAAAAGCTGAGCTTATCTACTTACTAAGTCGTCTTATATTTGGGTTTAATATTTGATAAAAGTTCATGCTACAAATCAGCATTTACTGCAGATACTCAGTTTGGAAATAGATCCAGCTTTTTGGTGGAGTTGAGCATGTAGCTCGTTGAAGGACCTGGTAACATGGCTGAACCTTTTCCATAAATTTGAAACATGATGATGAGAACACAATCTTGAGTGTATCTCAATAGGCAACTTCTTACTGGGAAAAAGCTGGTAGGGGTGGATTGCAGGGAGGATGAATTTTCCAGGTGTGCCACAGGTGGAATATCTCTGGCTTAGAGCATCTGTTTTGGCTACTTGCAGAGCAGAAGATTCTGCCTTTCTAAGTGCTAGTGTTGGTTATTGTGTTCAGAACTGAAATAATAACTGAGGTGGCAATCTGAAAGTGGATGTGAGCAACGGCTGTTGTCTGGTTCTAGCAGTAAAGGCAAAAACTGGGGAGAGGGTAAGACTTTTCTTGCTTAAAAACAAATGAAACAAGAAAAGGCAGATGGATGTTTCCCCTGCCCCCCCACTATTGTCTTTAAATAAAAAGATACTCGACGCTTTCCTGGGCTTTTTGTCACTGTTTCCTCTTCCTTCACCCACGTTATGTAAAAATGCATCATTAATAGTGAAGTCCTGATGTTTTTCCACTGAAATAAAGGACCAAAGTCACCAACTGGTTAATTGCAGTAGATTCTACTGGTTTGTATGGGATTAAGCGGATACCATAGAAGAAGAATAACAATTGGCTGCTTCCTTTTGTGGTTGATCCTTTTTTCTCCTCTGGAGGAGAATGAAACAAAGTTTCACAAGTTAGTCAATATTTATCTTGACGTTCAGAAATGCCTGTCGAAGGGGTTCATGCAGTTCTGGAAAGTTTAATGAGAAGTGGCTTACCCACATCTGTGACTCCAAGCACAATAACAACTTCCGAGTGGAGCTTTATGTAAAGGCATCTCAGGGGCAAATATTTTTGAACTTAGAAACAGGTTTGCAGTAGTTCAGAAACGTGTACAGATTTTGCTTTGTGTTTTAGCAATTTCGCATGAGTTTAAAGCTATACCATAGAGGAAAGAGTGTTAAATAACTCAGATTTTTCCTTTTCATGTTTTGT